TAAATAGATAGATACTGAAGAGACTGGTAAATAGATAAACAGATACTGAATGGTGATAGATAGATAGATAGATAGATAGATAGATAGATAGATAGAATGCAAACACAAATCACTTTGTGTCATAAGAGACATGCAAACGCGTGAGTGTAAATTGATCTGGTTTGTAATTTAGTTTCACGTTTCTAGTATCAACAGTTTCGGATTTATAGTACTGACTGACAAGCAGAATGCCAGCAGTTTTTATTGATAAAAAGGCCCCATGTCAAGTAATCAATATGTAATTTGGCTGGTCAAGATAATAGAGATTGGCCATTGGTCACATCCGATGAGACTGCAAAGCATTTATGTCCAGTCCTGTTCACCGTTGTCCACCTACGAGATGTCAACTTCATCTGCCATCTTCCCGCCCACGCACTTATCAAGATGAGCGAATATGATGTGCGCGGGTGTGTAATCGCACACCCACGCACTTAAGCCAGACCATATTCACAAACATATCTCCTCGCATATGCATATTTTATAGACGCTAAATATGGATACGTGGCCGAGTGGTTAGCACGTTCTCGTTCTAACCATGAGACCCGGGTTCGAATCTCACTATGGTTTATTTTTCAGGTCATCGGTCTGGGGGAGGCGATCCCCGTGTATGTCACTTATAGAAAATGCCGTATGAGTGAAAAATAGTTGTGCTAGCACAATGTCACAAGTCATCGTGACCGAGGGTTTGAATGTAACGGCCTTGATCACGCTACATAAAGTGTTCTCTCCCATGGATTATAACTAAGGTCCGGAGTTCCAGTACAAATTTGCCTGAGCAACACGGACTGGCTTGCCGCTGTAGTAAACGGATACCTTCCGATAGGAGTTATCGGCCATTATGTATCTGTGCTTTTTAGTATAGTATATTTAGGCACTAATCCTTCGTTTATACATGTTATTAAGCAGAACAAACAGAGGATGCCTTTTAGCGTTTTCCTTCTGGTGTCTAATAAGCTGTTTAATGTCGATTGAAAACTTGTAAATAATTGACTGATTCGTTTTCCTACGGCTTATCAACCCTTTGCAGGTTATTTTAAGCCAGAAAATAATTTAGATTGCGAGAATTTTTTTAATTACAATAATTTAGATATAACTAGGTGAAGGAGAAATGTCTTCATATTCATACTGTTCCTAACGGTTTTTGCGCGTCAGGGAATATAATGAACCGAACCAAAATTCGAACGCGGTTCTCTGATTAACAATTCCGAGCCATTATCCATTACAGTAACCGCAAATTCAAGGTTACAACACCTAGTATACCCAAGTGGTCACCCGTCGAGTTATAGGCTAGGATCGACGTTGCCTAACCGGTGTTTCAAAATGATGTGGCCGTAAACCTCAATGACTTGAATATACATGTATATGTAAATATCTTTCGAAACAGGTGACAATATTTGAAAGTGTATAAGTATTTAAATTGCGTTTAAATAATAATAATAATAATAATAACAACAACAACAACAATAATAATAATAATAATAATAACAAAAATGAACTAGCAAAAAAATAAATATACCCACAGACATAACAATTTAGTGACATATGTGCACTGGAAGATATGCCAGTAGCACAAAATCGAAACCACTGAGAGATGGTATGACCACCAGACAGACACAGTTATCTAAAATAATGCTGTACCTATCCTCTAGGATATGTCAATTCAGACTGACAGAGAAATAAAAGCCAACAGACCTGATATTATCATAAAAAAAACAAGAAATTCAGGAAGTGTATGCTTATTGACATAGCAGTACCATCTGAGAGAAACACCTTCATGAAAATTATTGAGAAATTGTCTAGATACAAGGACCTGGCGATCGAGATTAACAGGATATGAGGAATGAAGACGTGCAATAATAATTGGAGCACTGGGCCTCGTGAGAAGAGGAATGCTCAATTTTAGTAACAGTGTTCAAAGTCACATCAACATAGAAGTTACCCAGAAGATCGCCCTACTAGGAACATCTCATATACTAAGAAAAGTGCAACCAATTAAATGACAATTCTCCTATAGGGCTTAAGCAGTATAGTTTGGACCCGGATCTACAGGGTACAAAGCAGTAAACATAATAATATACAAAATAATAATAATAATAATTATAATTATAATAACTAGAATGACCTGTGAACATTTCATGGTTTTCCTATTTGAATTTTCTGATGAACTTAACTTTTAAGCTAATGATTAAACTCATGGCGAGTTCTATGACAATAAAATCCCCGTTGAAATACCCCTATCGCATTGTTAAATATTTGAGTTTAACAACTTTAACAAAATATTGCAATAACAATCATAAATATGAATGCTGGTTGTTATTTTAAGAAGTAAGGGGGTACAAATGAAAATATTTCAAATTGACAACTCTTTCCATTTCACTGAAACAGACGTTAAACACTTTTATATTCCTTTCTTTCTTTCATTTTATCCCTGAAACCAAGTGGCATCTCCGATATATCTTTTGTTTTTTCCACGCAATCAAAAGGGAATAGTCCATTATTCATAGGGCATTGGCAGGGGGCGTTAAACATTTCTTTCTTTCTTTCGTTCTTTCTTTCTTTATTTATTTATTTATTTTTTTATTTCATTTTCTCACTGAAATCAAATAGTGTCTTTTCTCTTCTCCCCACATACCAAAACGCAATAGTCCATTATTTATGAAGTATTGGCAGGGCGTAACGGTCGTGTGAACTAACGAATGATAAGCAGAATAATAATAGGATAATGCGTATAATAATAATAATAATAATATGTATTAGGTTGGTGCAAAAATAATGTCGTTTTTTGATGTATTTTTAACGTCAAAAAACGACATTATTACGTCATTATTCTTGCACCAACCTAATATAAACATTCTTTTCCGTCGTGCTCTGCATAAATATTTTTGACATGACCTCAATTATACAATACACATATATTTGAATTAATATGACTTTTAACTTCCCAGAAATGCCAGAGAATATCCAAGAGATTTGTGTCTATCATTCTACCAACAAAACTCTTGCTAAGGAATTAGACGGTCGAATGTACTTGAACAAAAACAGAAAAAAAAATACTAACTTTTGTACAGTTTACCCACAATTTTGATTTGGATGTAACAAATCTTATTCGATACCTGGAAAAATAGAGTCAAGAATTAAACCGACTTGTAGGATGGATTAAAGAAGACTTTTGTCTAAATGAATTCTTGCTCCATATGAGGGTGTTTTGCTACTATGTAAGTGGCATAGTTTGTTCTTGACGTAAAGGTTTGCCTTGGCGGGAATGTAGTTCGTCTGATCACTTTCCGTGGGAATGGCAGTGGTCAGTGAGAGGCTTGCCACCACCCCCCCCACTTGTGAGAGAAAAGTTGGAGAGTGAAAAATAATTCCACACGCATAAGGGCTCGGATACGCTTTTGAACTCTATCAAAGCTGAAAAGGGAGGGTCTTGACAACTAACGCCCCGATATGACAACAGTAGTCCATTTTTTGGTCCGGTTTGGCTCTTGTAAAGCTAGGCGCTTGATAAAAATTCTGAAAAAATCAATACAATTAATTCTTGTTAATTTCCTATTTGTTCTCATCCAAAGAACTTACAAGTGAATTATCACGCCAGAGATTATGGCTGACGCAATTACTTCAAACGGAAAATGACTCCACTGATAATGCCGTTTTTTTTTTTTTTTTCGATTGCTGAGTCGTATTCCGTTGGCGAGATGTAGGTTCCATTCGAGCAGTTTCTTCCCACGAACCTCTTCTCTGGAACCGACCCCCAAGAGGACGCTTCCCCGATCACTACAATCTTAAGGGTTCAATTCGACATTCCAACCACATGAAGAAGGACGGAGCGTACAATGGCCGAAACATGGCAACAAAGATGAGGACAATAGTCCGAATAATGTAAATAGTGTACATAATGCCTCATCTCAAAAATATAGACAGATACAATCTTAATCTATTGAAGTCTATGATAAGCGTTATATTCCCCAAATTTTCCATAGATAGATAGATAGATAGATAGATATGAAGAGATTGAGATAGATAGATAGATAGATAGATAGATAGATAGATAGATAGATAGATATGAAGAGATTGAGATAGATAGATAGATTGATAGATAGATCTTATCTAGCTATCTATGTATCTATCTCCAATACATATTTTTTCAATCTAAAAATATTTTTTGGTTGTCAATAACCTGATAATCCGTAAAAAAGAATCAATCAAATCAAATCGATTATCTGAACCGATAATTTCCGAACTTCGATTGTCTGGACATGAAATGTGAATTGAAATCATCTGAATATTTTTCAATTATTCGAACGGAACCCAGTCTAATATTTCATCTCAGACAAACATTTTGAGGATTTAGAAGCATACTCAACATTTGATTGCCATACGATGACCACAGTTAAGCAGAGTCGAGGTTAATCAATGCTTAGATGGGAGACCGCTTGGAATGCCAGGTTCTGTAATCTTGGATGTGCGGGTGGTGTAATGGATAACGGAACTGGAAATCGGAGAGCCGAGTTCCAATTTCGAGTCGGGTTCGTTAAATTCACATATGCGCAAATACCCTTAGAAAAGGCATGAATCCACCTCTTCTCTCTCCAGCTATGGGTTAATTACCAAGATTTGTATCTTTAAATCATTATTATCTCCAAAAACATTCTTAAAATCTAAAAATATTTTCTGGTTTTGAATAACCTGCAACAGGGTTGATAAGCCGTAAAAAGCGATCGAATCGAAAAAAATCAAATCGATTATCCGTCCCGATATTTTCCGAAATTCGATTATCTGGACATGAAATGAAGAGAACTGAAATCATCGGAATATTTTTCAGTTATTCGAACGGAACCCATTTTAATATTTCAGCTCAGACAAATATTTTGAGGATTTAGAAAACCACACTCAACTTTGGATAAAAAGAAAAAAAAACGCTGATAAAGTCAGTTTTTGTTTTTCTCCTTGATTTCATAGCTTCCGGCCACATCACGTTGAAACATTGGTCCCCATACGATCACCGAAGTTAAGCAACGTCGAGCCTGGTCAGTACCCAGAAGGGTAACTGATTAGGAATACCAAGTGCTGTAAGCTTGAATGTGCGGGTGGTGCAATGGATAACAACTGAGTTCGAATTCCAGTCGGATTCGTTACATTCACTTACGCGCAAATATCCTTGGGGAAGATATGAATCCACCTTTTCTCCCTCCAGCTATGGGTTAATTATAAATCACCAAGAAAACCTATTTAAAGGAAAATGACCAACAATTTATTTTATTTGTAGTTGAATACATACACTTCCGTTCAAATTATATTTAGTTTAAGCCATAAAATTGTGTTCAAAATATTTAGATTTTGTCATCAAATAATTCACAGATAATGATATGCCGATGAACCAAATCAAGCTACCAACATGAAAGAACACTTTCATGATATTAATTCATATAATATCTTACAATTTTTTTTACAGCAGCCTTTGAAGATATGGCGACACAACAACTCTTAGAAGTAGATCCTTGAAGAGGCCGAATCTAAGTTAATTCTCTATTTTCGAAACTTGCAAGTTCAGACCTTCACACCTCTTACGGCGATCTAGCGTTGAAACAGCGGTTCCCGTACGATCACCGAAAGTAGCCTCTAGCCTGATGGTTAAAAAAATGAGTGAATACGCCCGGCAGAAAAACCTCTGATCGGAAGATTGGCGGTTTTGAGTAGCGTGGAATCAGCTCTTAATTGATGTTTTTACCAGGTTCAAACCTGACCCGGAGTGGTAACACCTGTTAGGGTCCCAGCTATGGACAGATAATGAATCCCCAATCAAAGACAGAACACCCTGAAATTATAAAAATATATTTTCTTAGAAAAATGGCCAACAATACCTATTCATAGCAAAATGACCTATTTATAGCATGCAATTGCGTTCAAAATATTTAGATTTCGGTATTAAATAAGCCATACAGATGTCGATATGCCGCTAAACAAACAGACCAATAATACATTATATCTGTAGATGATGGCATACATTTGCGTTCAAAATATTTAGATTTCGGTATTAAATAACCCATACAGATGTCGATATGCCGCTAAACAAACAGACCAATAATACATTATATCTGTAGATGATGGCATACATTTGCGTTCAAAATATTTAGATTTCGGCATTAAATAACCCATACAGATGTCGATATGCCGCTAAACAAACAGACCAATAATACATTATACCTGTAGATGATGGCATACATTTGCGTTCAAAATATTTAGATTTCGGCATTAAATAACCCATACAGATGTCGATATGCCGCTAAACAAACAGACCAATAATACATTATATCTGTAGATGATGGCATACATTTGCGTTCAAAATATTTAGATTTCGGCATTAAATAACCCATACAGATGTCGATATGCCGCTAAACAAACAGACCAATAATACATTATATCTGTAGATGATGGCATACATTTGCGTTCAAAATATTTAGATTTCGGTATTAAATAACCCATACAGATGTCGATATGCCGCTAAACAAACAGACCAATAATACATTATATCTGTAGATGATGGCATACATTTGCGTTCAAAATATTTAGATTTCGGCATGAAATAACCCATACAGATGTCGATATGCCGCTAAACAAACAGACCAATAATGCATTATATCTGTAGATGAAGGCATACAATTGCGTTCAAAATATTTAGATTTCGGCATTAAATAACCCATACAGATGTCGATATGCCGCTAAACAAAATGACCAACAATACATTATATCTGTAGATGAAGGCATACAATTGCGTTGAAAATATTTAGATTTCGGCATTAAATAACCCATACAGATGTCGATATGCCGCTAAACAAAATGACCAACAATACATTATATCTGTAGATGAAGGCATACAATTGCGTTGAAAATATTTAGATTTCGGTATTAAATAACCCATAGAGGTTGATATGCTGATAAATAAAATCAACCAACCAACATGATTCATATAACATCTTACAATTTCTTAAAGAAATCAAACTGTATTCCAAAATATAACTCCAGCAAAACTTCAACATAAAACACATCGCCTCTAGTAATTATGTCCACACAAATATAGAGATGCACAAAAGCTGAATATCATCTACCATGTAGTCAATTGTGAAAGCAGAATAACATATAATTTTTTACTTCAAACTCCCAAGAAAATTTACTTTCGGCATTAAATAACTCACAAGGCGTTGATATTCCATTAAACAAGCAAAAAAAAAAAAAAAAACTAGATGGGTGAGCGATCGATTATCTGTTCTGAATTTCGATTATCCGGACACAAAATTATCCGGAGAATTGAAATCACTCTGTACATTTTCCAGTTATCCGGACTGAATCCATTTTAATATTTCATCTCAGACAAGCGTTTGGAGGATTTAGAAAATCTGATAAAATTAATTCTTGTTAATTTCTACATTTTTTTTTTTTAATAATACAAAGAACTTACAATTGAATTATCACAATTTGGTCAGGCCAGAGATTATGGCTGATGCAATTCTCAGATGCGTGGGGAGAAAGTTACTTCTAACGGAAAATGACTCCACTGTTAATGCCGTATTTCCGATCGCTGTGGCGACGGAAGATTTTATTGGGTAACTTGCAGCGTTAAAGATCAATGTCAATGAAACTGAAATAAATGACTGGTTCCATACAGACCGCCCTGGGTATGAACACCTATGTGAACAGGGCATTCTTAAACTAGTAACCGCGCCAGAAATGTTGAAGAAGAGCAAGGGAATCATAATGATCTTGCCTATGTCGGAGTTCAATAGCCATAATGCCTAATTTCAAGCAATAATTATGGAGATTTTCTAAGCGTGGCTTAGATGTGGCACAAGGCTGAATATATGAAGCACCCATTGAGGATCAAACTCACTAGTAATTGGCTTCACGTTTTCGACTGACTTGAGGTGGAACAACTACATTGAATCAATAGCTGCGTCTGCTGCAATGAAAGTTGGTTCTGTGTGGCGTACCAGAAGATTTTCTTGTCAGAGTCCATTTTACACATATACAAATCTACCATTCGTCCGTGCATTGAATACTGCTGCCATATATGGTCTGGTGACCCCGCTGTTCATGTCGAGGTTCTCAACAAAATCCAAAGAAGGATCTGCAATGTAATCGATTCTGACCTGGAGTCTCGACTTCAGTCACTTTCTCATAAACGTGACGTGGCTTCCCACTGTCCTTTCTACGGATATTTTCATGGCAACTGCTCTGATGATTTTTTTTCTTCTCTTGGTGTCCTGGCTACATGAATTTAAGTGTGATACTAGTCTGACACGTAGGTCCCACCATTTTACCGCTGAAATGTAACCGTCACTTCTACTCCAACAGTTTTTTTTTCTCGCACTTCCCGACTGTGGGACTCTCTTCTCCTTACTTGCATCTCTGATAATTACAATCTTCAAAATTTTAAATGCAATGTCAGTCGCCATCTTCTCTTGACTTGAACCCTATTCATCTTTTATCCTTTCCTCAGTCCCCTCTATACAGTCTTTTCTCTCACTTTCACTCTCTGTAACCCCCTCCCCCACCTACGTACTAGTGGCACTTCCTCCTTACTTGGGGTGAAATGCTAAAAAAAATTGATCTAGTTAGACAAGATTGCCAACCATTATACCACGTCAAAGTGCCCAGTGGAGATTACCTAAGCGTAGCTCAGATGTGGCACAAAACCGAAAATATGCGGAACACCCGGTGGGGGGGGGATATATTTCATAACTTAGTCGTAATAGTTCTAGCGAGATCAAGGTTGCTAACTATTAAGCTACTTCAAAGTGGCCGGTTATTTTCTAAACATAGTTTAGAGACGACAGAAGGCTAAAATTATGGGGCACCCAGTGTGGATCGAATTTACTATTCAGTAGTAACTGTTCTAATGAGACAAGCTTGCTAACAAAGGCCCCATACCAAGCAGCTCAGACGAAGCAATAATTATGTGTGATAAATGGTTATTAATTTGGTTGCGTTTTCAGCCAGACTCTACCCTTACAAATACGCCTATGTTGGGCGCCTCGACGTGGTGTAATGGTTAGTAAGCTTCTTTTAGTAGATCAATTACTACTGTGTAGTGAGTTCGATCATCACTGCGTGCCCCATACTTTCGAACTTGTGCCACATCTAAGCTACGCTTAGAAAATCAACAAGTACACCTATTTTAATCCAGCCTTGAGCGACAGAAAGTACGAGGCCAATTGGATATAGAAGAAACTGGATTTTTTTTTCTTTTTTTTTTTTTTTTTTGCAGATAAAATAGATAAAAAAACTTGAGAAGAGTCCTTCAAAATGCTATTAAATGCTAAATTTCTTTCAGCAGTTGACTTTTTTCTTCTTTCTTTTTAAGCATTCAATTATCCGGCATTTTTTTAATTCACCGAACATAATATTTTCAAGCCCGTCGAATGTCTCCGGATAATCGAGGAAATACGGTATTCAAGTTAGGTAAGATCCGATAAGTTGGGCAAGATATAAGACATATGAAGGTTTTGAATTCAAAGTTGTTCTTCTTTTCGATTGGTTACAAAACAAGTTTAGAGAACCCAGTTTGCAATTTTTTCTGTGATTTTTTCAATATTATCAGAACAGTAGATAGCAATTTACATAGCATTTCAATTTTTCGGGAATAAAATTGGCTGTCAAGCATGAAGCCTGGGGGGATTCCACAATCGAAAATTGCGAGAAAAGAAACTGTTAGCATAGAATTTACGGCTATGTCTAGCTAGCTCAACTGTAAATTGATGAGATTTCAACACCAGTCTGTACCAGTAAAATATCATGAGAAAACCCAAAGTCAAAATAAGAAAACCCAATGTCAAAATGAGAAACCCAATGTCAAAATGAGAAAACCTGAAGTCAGTAAGACAAAACACAAAGTCAATATGAGAAAACCCCATGTTAAAATGAGAAAACTCAAAGTCAAAATGAGAAAACCCAAAGTCCTTATGAGAAAACCCAATGTCAATATGAGAAAACCCAAAGTCAAAATGAGAAACCCAATTTCAAAATGAGAATACCCAAAGTCAATATGAGAAAACCTAATTTCAAACTGAGAAAACGCAA